TTGTTGTTGTTGTTGTTGTTTTGTCTTTTTAGTAGGTATGAAGTAGTATCTCACTGTGTCTCACATTGTTTTGACATTGTCTCACTCACATCTGTTATATCCTTGGTACTCACTGATTTTCATAGTGTATTTTTCAGCATGCAATGACAGTAAATACACCTTATCTTTACTATCATCATCCTTTAAATAATCCATATGAACTACGTCTTCAGTGTAATGATTGTTATGGTAACCAACTGGAATATCATTTAGGAAGCATTTGTGAAAGGCATGCATTAATGCACTGGGTTCCCTCATTGATTTTTAGTATCTTTTCATGTTGTCATTGGCTAGTTCTTCTCATAGTGAAAATTACCTGGACCTACCATTAACAGAGGAGCTTAGATGGCTAATCAGAAGGTTGCACATCTCTAGCAGTTCGAATCCAGCAGCCTCTGTATGGGAGAAAGATGGGCAGTCTCCTCCCATTAACATTTACAGTCTAGGATATACGATGGAGGATCTGTGAATCAGAATTGACTTGGTGGTGGTGAGTTTGAGGATTTTCAGCCAGAAGTCCAGCAATATAAATGTGCTGGCTGCGGGATAGAAAAACATGAAGTCACTTGATTCTGTGAAGATTTATAGCCAAGGAGTCCTTACAAAGGCAGTTCTGTTCTCCCCGGTGGGATTGAAATCAGTTGGAATTGACTCCATGGCAGTGAGTTTTGTTTTCATCCTTTGACTTTTTCTATAATCTTTTTTTCTAACTTGTTAGTACTTTATATATAATGAATATTCAGTCCTTTTATTAGAACATAGTGGCTGCACCATTTTACACTCCCACCAACAGTGAATAAGGGTGCCAGTTTCTCCATAACCTCTCCAGCATTTGTTGTTTGCTGCCAATTGTAATGGGTACCCATGGTGGACAGTATTGGCTGGAGCTTCCCAACTAAATCAAGCCTGGAAGCAGGAGCGGCATCCACTTCCGAAATGACCCCTGGTGGACAGTATTGGCTGGAGCTTCCCGACTAAATCAAGCCTGGAAGCAGGAGCGGCATCCACTTCCGAAATGGCTTGCCTCCGGAAACTCTATGCACAAACAGTGCTCAGGCTGTTCCTTCATAGGGTCGCTATGAGTCATCTATGACTCGACAGCATCAAACAACAACAACAACAATTCTTACTGGGGTGAGATGATATCTCATAGTTGTTTTGATTTGCATCTCTCTTAGAGAGAGCTAGGAATTTTGAGCACTTCTTCAGGTGTTTGTTCACCATCTCAGTGTCTTCTTTGGTGAAGTATCTGTTCATATCCTGTGCCCATTTTTCAGCTGGTTTTTTTTTTATCTTGTTGTGGTGCTCAAGTATTTTATAAATTCTAAATATAACTCCCTTATCAGACATGCCATTACCAATTATTTTTTACCAGTCTGTGGCTTCCCTTTTTACCCTGTTGGAGAAGTTTTTGGATGTGCATAAGGATTTGATTCTTAGAAGGCCCCATTTATCTATTTTATCCTCTCCTGGTTGTAGGTTTT